AAGCTTATCCAAAGAATCAAAACCTACCAATCATATCACAGGAAAGCGTGATATCTTCCTGCATTCGGGATACATTAGCTAAGAGAAGCAGAGAATTCAGATGGTATGGGTTTTCCACTACTATTTCCTGTATCAGTTCGTGGTCAAAGGAATCCTCAGAAACCCAACATAACCTAAAACGAAAAAGTCCATGGAAGAAGACGCTCCAACAATTAATTTAGGTAAACCTACCGTTCCAGTTTCTCATAATTAGAGTTGTGAATGAACTTGAACCATTTAATTCCACCTTCCTCCCTGTCCAGTTCCATCGACAGACCTTAAGCGAGACTGTTGAGATACAACATCTCCGATTCGCTAACAGTACCGATATTTCTCACTGGTGGCCAATTGTACTTCTGCTTCACAATTTTTCCAGCTCCATGGAATGCACGATGAGAACGGCTAGTTGCTGGGGCAACATCCTGAAGCTATTTTGTGAAGAGCTGCCTCCCTGCCGTCATGTCGAACATACTTTGAAAGCTTTGCCGATTGCTCTCTTCAACTCAGCTGCAGCATCGTACAAGCGTGGATCCGGTTTGATAACTTGTTCTACCCCTAGAGGTTCCTCATCTTCTAACTGCGATAGCACAGTTGTTTGGTTCTGTGATAAAAGGAAACAGTATTGAAATTTGCAGAAAATCACAGGCAAACCTCGCACGCTAGCTGCTCTAGGAGCTGATCATCATCTAGCTCCTCCTGCTCGTGTTTCTTTTGTTTTTTCTTTTTCCTTCTTTTCGTTTTCTTCACATTTTTTTCGTTCAACAGAGGATTTTCTTTTGTGACTTGTTTAGAAAATGATGAGTTTTCCTCGTCTCCGTCATTGGCATCTGACCGTTCACCAGTATCCTCCTCATCTAGAATCACTAGTTGGGGCAAGTTGTTAAAGATTATAGAATAATGAATACAAACATTCGTGACAACAATTTTATGTGAAATCATTCAACAGGAAAGTTAGAAATCACTGAAGTTCTAAGTTAGCGCAAAACTGATTTGCATACTTAATTCCTTTAAATGTCATAGATTCCTATCTGTAAAGAACTTTAGACTTTCTTTCTCAGTTAAGAATCTCCTGATTTTTCCATAAAGTATGACAGTTTCAATACAAACCAATAGGTGATCGAAGGAAAGGCAAAGATTTTTCTAAATGTAAATTAATAAGAACTGCTACAGAATCATGAACTTGACATCTCGAACATGCGTTGTACTATGCACCTCAAATGCTGTAAATTCATCAGTTTCTCAACTCAGCCTGCTTAGTGATAGTTTTCAATAAACTTACCAACAAAAGCTGCAAATCGATTTACTGGTCCAGGTTTCGGTGAAGGAGGTAGCTCTTCTGACTGTTCGCTCACCTCGTCGTGCTCTTTTTCTTCAATTAGTCGTCGAAGATGTTTTGTAGACATCGTTCGAATAAACAACTAAGCTTAACATTATAACTTTTGAAGTGCACTTTGCTGCATATCATGTTGATTGAGAAACAGAGGAAGGAGTGATTGATGTTGAAAAAGGAAAGCTTCTTGATAGTAATTGAACTGTTGCAAATTATATGCCATAAATATCAAGATCAAAGCCTGTACATATCTGTGCCGACCGAAAGTACTCTGCTCTAATAGAAAAAGTTAACAAGGATAATA